GAGGGGGGGGACAATGTTAGACAAGTAGAGAAGGGTGACCACATTACTTGAGAAGCAGGTTATACTCAGAAAAAGTGTTTGAGCCATCTTCAGTTGTCGCATCTGACGGCACTTCCTACTTAATGCTTTCATCACTGTAAAGGCTCAAATGACACCACAGTGAAGAATCAACTTACCCATCATCCAAACTCCATCAGCAGCTGGTGTATTTTCCTGGCTTCACCATCTCTTATGGCGACTCAAAAGTTTTGTATTCTCTGAGCTACAGAAGGAAACAAGAAGTTTATGATTAGTTAAAAGTGACAGTGTATTTTTGCCAGGTAACAGAACTGTATCATCAAATGTTCAGAACACCAAGACTCACCACTGAAGAATCTGCCGGTAATTCCAGCTAATTCAGTTTTGATTTCATCATTACGTTCAATAGCTATTATACATTTACTGTATTGAATGTGCATTTTCAACAAACCTGAGTCTGGATCATCTTGGATGGGCACATTTCATCTGTGAAGAAGAATAAAAAAATGAGTTCCACTGACTGTAGGATAATGTCAAGACTGATGATCAAGCGCAGTTTCTGGGGGCTCAGAACAGTGAGCAAGAAACGTCGTCAGTTTTCGCATCAGACGGCACTTCCTATTCAGTTTTCATCACTGACACAATACACAAACATCAGATAGTTGGGTTTACTTCAGGATCACTCACCTCTCAGGGACAAAAGTATACCCTATGATGATTCCTATTACAACACGTGTTAAACTTGTGAAATGAGATGCCAAATTGAATTCCACCTGGAGAAAAATAAGACATTTGCACTTAAAAACAAACATTTCAAAATCATTACTGCCTGGGACTACAACCAGGCAGCACTGCTTATATCCATTTTATGGAGCTAAACAGCATTTGGCATCTTTGTTGCTTAAATTCCATATTTCTAAGCTCAAAAAACGAGGCTATGCAGAACGCAACACCTTGTACTGTAAGCGAGAGTGAAAGAAAAGCACAAAATCTCACCGTTGTCTTCTATCGCGTCCATCTTTCCGTCCTCTCCACGTGGCTGCTTTCTCAAATCTAACGCTACACTTTGGGTAGCAGATATCACGGACGTGTTAACTAAAAACTAAAACTAGAGTTCAGCTAACGTATTATCTGAATACTCAGTACTATGGACTTGTATCCACTAAACTCTAATTACAAGTTCAATAAAAACTGCCACAATACCTTACAGTTACGGACATTAAGTCAAATGGAGGAGTAGCGTGGCTGGCAAACGTTTTAAAGCACGACCGTCGCAGGAATAAAACGTCACTCGTTCGTTAGTTTTTGCGGCGCACTACAACTCACGTGAAGGACGCGCTGTCGCCGCCTGCTGCACCGGAGCATCATTACTTTATATTGCGTATTTAGGCCACAGTAATTCAAAACAATTGCTATTCTTATTTTAAGATCAGTCTAATTTAAAACAACAATTCTCCCATCAATTTCTACTTTATGAAGGCGATAATAGCCTACTGTTCACCGTGAAAGATGTAGTTTGTGCTGCTGCTGAAATGCGCTGCATTATTTAGCCCAACCTCATTGATATAAATGGGGTGGACAAAATAATAAAAACGTATGACATGTTAGTATTACGCAACGTAGTTCATCAGCACGGTAACCTACTTCTTTTTTCCCCAAACTCTGCCATACATTTAGGCTACATGAACTTGTATTACAACTTACTGCATTTATCAAAATAGTTATTACTAAGTAGCAGGCTAGAAATACACTGTCCCATTGTCACCTGGGCTTTGTTTTCTTGTAGCCTATTTTTCTTTTCACTGTTTTATTATTTTTCTTCCTTTCTTTGGTTGGCTAATAGCTGTTCATGTTGCTTGATTTATCTGGAAGTGAACCTGACTTCTGGACAGTTCAATACATTTATAAAGAGACAAAAATAATTTATGTTAAATTCAGATGTCATGAACATACATAAATAAATCCCTTCATACCTCCCTTTATTTGTTACACTCGCACTGTCCATTAAATCAAGTTTTAAAAAAAATCAAAAAGAAAAAAGTAGCTAGATCTTATTTGAGATTACAATAGGAAGCTTTAATCAACAGTAAGCTGAGTGAGGAACAACCTGCAGCCGCTAGGTGGCGCATTTGAGAGGTTACTCGCTGATATTCTTCACTAAATCCCCGGACTCTCTCTAATCGCTTGTGTTTTACTGTATGACTGTGTCTGTCTGTCTGGAGATAAACTGCCAGCAAACTTAGGATATCACATCACATCTCAGAAGACATTTCCCATTCAGCAGCATCAGGTAAAGCATAAACCCTGGTGAAATTATACAGGTCGTGTTGTACACATCTTTTTCTGTACTACTGAAGCTTGAGATTCTTGATGGGGAAATTGTTTTCTCTAAACGCTACTTTCATTTGTTGCTGAAGATGGTTCTTCTTGGCTCTGGCTGTATGTTTGTTGTCATGCTGCGGAATGAACTGATCAGATGATTGCGTGAATCAAAAGCGCCTAAACCTTTGCACAGTGTTGGCATTTTATTTGATGAAGCCTGTTAGAATCCACTGATGACTAAAGATATAGATATAGAATCTGGTTTACTGTGCATCCTGTTTATATTGACGCCAACATTTTAACTTTTTGATATTTGCTCTGTCAGGAAAATGGGGGAGACAATTGTGCCCTTCCCTGGTTTGTGGAAATAGTGAGAAAAAAGGACATGCATGTGTCTTCTAGAAGTGAATGAAAAGCGAGCTTACTGTCCATGAAACAAGCAGTTTGAAGGTGTGTGTGTGTGTGTGTGTTGATCCACTGCAGCAGCATGTTGCCACCTGTGAAGAAGGACAGGATCATCACTCAGCTTCCAAAAGTTAGTATCATTGAAACACACACACACACACACAGTTTATGTTTCGTAGTCCATGGGGACTTTACATTGACTTACATGCATTTCTTGTAGACTAGCCCTAACCTTAACCAGAACCACTACTTGCGTAACCCTAACCCTAACCCTAACCTCATCCTAACCCTAAACCATGTTGCCACCCTAAAATTCAATTTCTTGCCCATGGGGACCTCAATTTAGGTCCCCACCGTGAAATGGGTCCTCATGAGTTGGTATGGAGTCAGGAAGAAGTCCCCACGTAGCAAGAAAAACACGTTCACACACACACACACACACACAAAGGCTATTATGTGAGCTGAGTTTTGCTGCTACTCCTTAAATGTCCAGTGGTTTTTATCCATCAGTTCCATTCTGTGTCTTACGCTGCTTTGCAGTGTTTCAGTCCAAATGCAGCCCTGCATACCGAAGATGACTTCCACCAACAGGTGAAGGCTGTCTGTCAGGTACAGAAGACAGACATAGAGAGGTAAGATCACAGAAAAGTTTACCAATACAGCACACTTACTGCTACTAAACACCCCTCACATCTGACTGTGTGGGCTGGTGTTCTTCTTAGTGGATAAGGCTGGTGGTGCTCTATAACACTGACAAGTTAGTCCCTCAAAACTTCACAGCTTCCCTACTCCGTGGTACCTAAGCCCATTCATTCATGCTCAAAACTGAAATTGTGAAAAACTCATCACAAATGTATAGCTTTTATTTTTTAAAAAGGGTCAGTAAATTTCTCTCGGATCTTTTGATTTGCAGATTGCAAAGAAAGGAGAGAATACTATATCATCAACCTTAACTTTAAATCATCTCCCATTTACTCTTTATGTTGTTTGGTTTGTTACCTCACCTCCACCTGCTTACTCATCAGTCATGTAGTTTGATATATTTTAATTACTGTTGACAAAAAAAACATTACAGTGAATGGCTGGAAGTCCTAATAAGTAATAAAGCATTAGCACTAAAACTGTGTTGTACTTTTCTAGGTTATAAATGTGGTATTTCACCACTAGTGATTACACAACCCTCAACAAACCTTAAAATTCCTTAGTCATTTCAAATTTTCTTTATTTTGTGAGATCATGGGAGAGGTTACTTTATTCATTATTCACTCTTATATGAAGATTACTGTTAAATAATGTCAACTGTTAAGTTGTTGTATGGTGCCATGAATGAGAGTTGACTGTTGCTTTCTGTTGCCAGCCTTAATGTCGCCAAGGTCATTGTAGTTGGAGATGTTGCAGTTGGGAAAACATGTTTGATCAGCAGGTAAGAAGAAGTCTTGTATAATTAATTAGAGGCGTATGAGGCTGATAAAAGCAACATATAGTGACTCAGTAAAGTGTTGGGCCACCATGTGTCACCAGAACAGCTTCAGTGCACCTTGGTATTTATTCCACAAGTCTTCGTATGCTACCGGAGGGATGAAAACACTTCTTCCAAAAGATATTCCCTTGTGGTGTTTTGATGATGGTTGTGGGGATGCTGTCCTACACATCGTCCCCCCCAAAATAAGTTATTCAATTATGTGACAATAAAAACATAGTTAGTTGAAGCTCTTAAAGATTTCTCTCTCTCTCCTGTCAGGTTCAGTAAGGGTGAGTTTGAAAGGAGCTACAAGGCGACTATAGGGGTGGATTTTGAGATGGAGCGTTTCGAGGTGCTCGGTGCTCCCTTCAGTTTACAGCTGTAAGTATGTCTGCACCACAGAGAAATATCCAAGTCGTAGACTGAGCCCTAAACAAATTCACTTGCTATTCCACCAAGTATCTCAAGGAGAACAATTACAACCACTTCTGATGTAGGTGGGACACTGCAGGTCAGGAACGGTTCAAGTGCATCGCTTCCACCTTCTATAGAGGAGCACAAGGTGACTTTAGCTCATCCCACAGTGTGCCGAGGCAGATTATTCAGTCAGTCTCCACATTCTCATGCCCTCTCTTGCTCTTTGTCTTACTTCTGCTCGTACTGTTTGTGTCTTTACATTTCTCTAGCCATCATAGTGGTGTTTGACTTGAGCAGCATGAGCTCGTTAGCACATGCCAGGTAGGGAGCATCCCATTGTTCAGGGGTTATGCCATGAAAAATGCCAATAGATGTCTTATAACTGTGTGTGTGTCTGTAGGCAGTGGCTGGAGGATGCCATGAAGGAAAATGACCCATCCAGTGTTTTACTGTTCCTTGTCGGTACCAAGAAGGACCTCAGTGTGGGTGACTTTTTGACTTGTCATAGTGAAAAGCAGGTGTTACTGATAGATAGATAGCATTTTTGACTCTGGATAACTGTAATATGCATTTTCCACTATTTTAAAGCCTCAGTGAATAATTGATAGTTTAATAAATATTGAAAATAAGCATTAGTTGCAGACCAGAGAATAATAATGAAGTTTTTCACTCCTCAGTCTCCTGATCATTTGGCTCAGGTTGAGCAGGAAGCCATCAGACTCTCAGAAGAAATCAAAGCCGAGTACTGGGCTGTGTCTGCAAAGTCAGGTGGGAGTCAAACCCGACACCCACATCCATATTCCCTCCTTGCTTCTCATTTTCAGTTTTATCCTTTTTCTTCTCATTAATCTTGTCTCTCGGTCTCTTCATTGCTCCAGGAGATGGAGTCAGGGATTTCTTCTTCCGTGTGGCCTCTCTGACTTTTGAGACCAATGTTTTGTCTGAACTTGAGAAAAGTGGGTCAAGACACGTCACTGACATCATCAGTGAGTGCCTTTGCTCCATAAAGTGCCATAATTCAGATGGAAGCGTTGTTTTTTTTCCAGCTATTTCCTATATTTGTTTTTGCCAATAAATAAGTTTCTCACTTCCAGGAACATGTTTTTGGATTATTGTTTGACTTTTGATGGGATTTATTGACAGTATTTGGCTGATTGAAGAAGACCCAGCTTTATCATTTAAACCCTTCTTACTGTAGCTCGCTTTGCTCATCTGAATGCCAAAAAATATAAAATCTCATTTATATTTATTTGTGCTGCAGGGATCACAGACAGCACAGAAGCTGGTCACAAACCGACCCAGGGGAAAACCAAGTGCTGCTGATGAAAGATGAAGGGACAACAGACAGCCTGGTTACACTGCAAAGACAACAAAGCAACATGAAATGGCACAATGAACAGGAAGACAGAACTGAAACATGGACGCAGTGTGGACATTATGAATAGACCCCATAAAAAGCAATGTTATACATATTGTACTCTAAAGATGACCTGAGAGGGAATTAGTAATAATGCAAATTGAGGCTGTAAACAACAAGACCTCAGCAAGAATGTTTGTCCTGCTGGCCAGAGAAACAAATAAAGCTTTGAGATACTTGGTTATGTAAAGATCAAAAGCAGAAGATTATTCTCTTCTAGATCATTTATAAACTTCATTGGTAGATGCCCTCATAAATATGTGTCTGAAGCAACAGTTTTCTCCTGTTACAGATGAAAAGTCAGCAGCAGACATACTGCATTTCTTGGTCTCCTGTCATGCGTCATTGCTGCTAATGTGATGTGTACACCAGCTCCCATGACTGCGGTCATACCCACATCTCTCTTCTCTGACATAAGGCCCCTCATGATCACAAAAATGAAGGGATTGTTTGCAAGCACAGAAACAAGGAGCGAGTTTCATCTGAGACCAACTGATTTGCTCGCTCAGTAAAAGCAGATAGGAGGAAGAAGTGCATCTTCTTAAGCTTGCAAGTGTTCCTTCTTGTCCCCTAGTAAACACTGATATGGAGTCTTTTTGATCACTGTGTTGCCCTTTTCCTTTTGTTAAAATAAAAAAGCTAGATAGCATAAACAAAGCACGAGGTTGGGAAAATTCTTCATATTCTGTTCCTAGATAATCAAATTTCAACCAGGAAGAAAAACAAGGATGCAAAGCACACATGGACGTCCCAAATGGCAGTTTCTTTCCCAAATGAACTTAAACCAGAGGGAGGGATTAATATGAACACTTTTATTAAAGGGATCATGGGTAGAAAAGGTCATCAACAGCACCAGAGACACCATTTCTCCTCCATCACCAACTGCTGCCGACAACCGATCACAGCCTCTCTGAGAAAGATGCAATATCTTAAGAGACGCAAAGTCAAGCAAGTTTACTCAAAAAAAAAACAGTTATTTAAAACAATATGCATGTTATGGGACTGTGATACTTTGCACGCTGCAAGATGAAGCACATCACTGGATACCAGCGCTGCTTGTTTGTACTGTGGCACAGAGGCACAGCCTCAATACAAACAAACACTGAATGCACAAGTCAAGAGTCAGAGCATCCTAAAACGCAGCTACAAGATTCATGATTTTTACAACAATATATTCATTTTACGGAAGAAGCTGCGTGCAGTTCAGATTATTATACAGAATCAGGATTACAAACACTGTGGGTCAGCTCGGTACTATATTGTGCTGATAGTGTTACAGTTAAAGAAATTTGAACTCAGCCACTCTAACATCCTAATTTTTTTGTTGCAGATAAAAAAAACAAACAAACTGACATTTTGTGGCAAAAGCGATACTGTCAGGGATGGATTGCAGCAGTGGTGTGAGATCACATCCTACAAGGTGGCAAACATCAAACAAAAGTTAAAAGTAAAACACTCAACTGCAAAGACTAAAGATACAAGACACTGAAATTAGAGCAAACTTCCAAATCACCCTCTGACAAACTGCCATGGATGCTCTGTGCGACATGCTGAGCTTCTTCAACATGGATCATCTGTCAATTAGATTTTGTTACTAAAATCAGCCAACTTAAAATGTGAGCTAGCGTCTTATCTGCCTCATCTAAATGTACATGAAGTGGTCAGATTCAACTAGCATTAGCTCTGGTGTGGTACATGAGATGTGTCCACACAGTACATTAGAGGTTATCTACAGGAGCCAAAATACAGTCAGCTGATCACAGCACAGCATGTGGTGGAAACAAGTAGCGACAACTCACATATGACAGAAACTCAAGCTCTTCTTGAATGAATTGTCTAAAGTAGCTTTGCCCCTCACACCTGCATGTGTCTGTAAGTCACAGATGTATTTGCTTTGACAGATGTGAAATGCAGAGGCTTTAAGTTTCAAACAAAAAAAGTGTCTTTATTCTTTCTGATGCATCTCATACACAAATTAAATTTCCTGATTGGCTTGGCAAAGCACTATTTTGGGAGCTGCTTGCAAAAATCCACCAACCATAAGGGAGGAAAGGTGGGTTCTGGAAACTGTAACCGTGCCCCTCTGTCAAAATCACTTAGTTCAAACTAAAACCCTTCACAAAATTAAAGAAAGTAGCTTATCTGACGAAGTCTGTGTAGGTCCATATCCTATATGTAACTGTTGTCAGATAATTCAAGTTTTTTGTCATTTTACTGATGTTCTGCAAGACATATACAGTATTATTCTTACTGTACAAAATACTATGCTGCCAGAGCCGAGGACTGGTGGCGTGGAAGTGAAACACGAGATGGATAGACAGGAGAAAAGAGGAAGGAAGGAATTGAGCCATAATACCACACGGACAAACTGCAGCCACAATATCAGGAGGTGACGAGAACATGAATGGATACAGCAGGTTGGAGAGAGCTCCAACTAGTGGCCAGCTGGGTGAAGGGGCTGATGGGTTGTGGGAGAGACAAATGTGAAGGGTTATCCAGATGAAGCAGCAGTACAAAGGATGGCACTGGGTAAGGGGGGTGTAGCGACGCCCCCCTATGTGTCCTATCGGTCCATTTCGTCTAGCAGGGGTGTTGCATCTCCAGCAATAGACATGGGTGTGCTTTCGATCATGGGGCTGGGCGATGGTCGTGGAGTCATCCTCTGGGCTTTCTTCCGCCCCTCTGCCTCTTTCTCCTTCAGCCACTGCTCCGCCATCTTGCCCCAGTCCACTGCAGAGGAGCTGCTGCCGCTCGCCCTGCGGGTAGGGAGGACAAAGAGGGAGGTGCTTCAGTTGAAAAATGGTATGAATGAAAAACTGATGGAATGGCAGCACCATCTAAAGGCAGAAAAAGTTAGTTAACAGAAGTGCTGGATGCATGGAGTCCAACTTGGGGGTGAAAAGAAATTTGTCTTTAAAACAAGCTGGGGTTACAAGTCAATTCAATTTTATTTATATGGTACCAAGTCACAACAAAAGTAATCTCAGGACATTTTACAAAGTAAAGTTTAGACCTTACAATAATAACTATCCTTCTTCTTATTACTATTATGAAAAACCCTACAAATCCCCCTTGAGCAAGAACTTGGCAACAGTGGAGAGGAAAAACCTACTTTAATGGAAGAAACCTCCGACATAGGAAAAGAAAAGACAGAAACACACAAGTATTCAGACCATTCACTTCATACTTGGTCAAAGCACCTTTACCAGCAATGACAGCCTCAAGTCTTCTTGAGAATGAATCTGTAAGATTGGCACATTTTTTGGGAATTTTCTTCCATACTTCTAGCAGAATTGTTCAATGTCAGCCAGGTTGGATGAGGAGTGCTGGTGCACAGCCATTTTTAGGTCTCTCCAAAGATGCTCTGTTGGGTTCCATCTTCAATCTCCCCCTCTGCTTTAAGACCACAACCATCGTCCCCCTTCCCAAGAAGAGCCTGGTCACCTGCCTGAATGACTTCAGACCAGTGACACTCACCCCAATCATTATGAAGTGTTTTGAGAGAGTGGTGCTGGCCTGCATTCAGAGCAGTATACTGGACCCCCTGCAGTATGCCTACCGGCCCAACAGGGCCACCTCAGACGCCATTGTGGCTGCCCTCCACTATTCCCTTTCTCACCTGGAAAATGGAAACTCCTACATCAGGATACTCTTCATTGACTACAGCTCAGCCTTCAACACAGTTGTCCCCCACAAACTGTCTACACTAGGTCTGCACCCCACCCTCTGTGACTGGCTCCTGGACTTTCTGACTGGCAGGCTCCAGACTGTCAGGATTGGCAATAGGACTTCAGCCAGCATTGTTACAAACACTGGCACCCCACAGGGATGTGTCCTCAGTCCCATCCTCTACACCCTATTCACCCATGACTGTGTCACCTCCCACAAAGACAACATCATCCTAAAGTTCACGGACGACACCGCAGTGATAGGTCGCATCACTGGCGGGGACGAAGCAGCCTACAGGAGGGAGGTGGCCGGTCTGGTGTCATGGTGCAAGGACAATAACCTCAGCCTTAACAAGGACAAGACAAAGGAGATGATGGTGGACATGAGGAAGGAGAGGAGACCTCATCAGCCACTGTTCATCCAGGGGCTCGAAGTGGAGAGGGTGAGCAGATTCAAACACCTGGGTGTCCACATCAGTGAGGACTTCACTTGGACACTTAACACCACACAGCTGGTCAAGAAGGCCCAACGGCAGCTGTACTTCCTGAGGAGGCTGAGGAGGTTTGGCATGTCGCCTAGGATCCTTACTAGGATCCTACAGCTGCATCATTGAGAGCATCTTGACCAGCTGCATCACTGTCTGGTACGGCAGCACTACTGCTATGGACCGCAAGC